ATTTCCAAAAGTAAAAATTTTCTCGAAAAAAAGAATACAAAATAAATGTGTATTTAAATTCATTCAAGCATCATAATTAAGCTTCGATCCCAGTTTATTATGTAATTTCAAATAGATGGACACTAGCATCTTAATGCATTCGTGGGGAATGTTCAAAACCCAGCTGTAATTTAGCTGCCTCACCAACGACAAAGTTACTCAGGTAGCATCACAGGATGACATAAATACATCTATGAGAAAGGGGAAGTTTATACTTAGTTCTGACGGGAACTTTCCATGGGACTGATCTGAGGGTCTCTCACACTCTTCCGTTAACACCAAACATTTCAAGAATTTCAGTTCGACAGTATTTTAGCTGCTCTCGTGCTACAAAGATACTATACACTTATAAACATCCAAGTCTTGTTGAACCTGGCTTCGAGAATGTCACAGTCTGCTTCTATACCACCATGCCAAATGGACAACTTCTCTATTTATCAAAATGTGTTGCATACGTGAAAGTTTTTTCATATTTTATTAACTCAAAATCACAGGAAAAATATTTCTTTCTATTTTCATTGCCATATTTTCTAACAGTTTTGTGAATTTCTGTGACAATAATTTATGCAAAAAATATTCATCACTTTCCTCTGAGGTTGCGATATATTTTTAACTCTATTGTCTCAAAAGACTGATATAAGAAAATAGTTTTAGCGACTGTGTTTTGGGCTGATATTCATAGTACAGATGAAAATTACGATTTCAGTTGAGTTCGTAACTTGGAAATGAAATAAAAGGCTGTGGAGATTTATTTATTTTAACTAACAGTTAATTTTTAATTAAAGCAACTCTCCTTGCAGTCTCGTTTTCAGCCAAGTTTCCTGCCAAAATGTTAATAAACTAAAAGATAAATAAATACATAATTAATAAATAAATAAGCGCGCGTGTATTCAAATGAGGTAGAGGGAAGTGCTGTTTAGTGGAAGGTTTTGGAAGGTGATTTTAGTTAGTTAGAGAGAGCGTGTTATGCCTGCTTGAATATAATGTTGCTATTTTGAATTACTAGCGATTAGATCGCTGTGGCTTTGAGGACTTCTAGCCCTTAAGCTTGTTTTCCGCCGACTTCTACGAATCAGAGCCTTCCTGCGCATTAAACTATTCTGTGAGCCATTAGGCTAAATTTAATACATTTTATTTTAAGTTCATTGTTACCTGTTTTGAGTTAAGCCAGAAGTGTTGGCTTTGTGTACTCCCACGTGGGGCCATCTATGAAGGCATAGTTAGTGAATAAAGGACGTTTTTACACTCTTCTTCTGACTTTCGGTTGTAATTAAGACCGGGAGATAATTCCTCATACAGTCGTTTAGGGTTCATAGTTTATGTTACCCTAAGGGAACGAGACTCTTCAAGACATAAAGTTTACTTTCGTAAATGCTAATGATAATCACTGAAAAAGAGTCGTGTTCTATAAATTGCATTTATTTGTTATAAATGTGTAACTATTCCATTCGCAAATCAAGGGATTTATTTGTCATTAATCTATACTTAGTCCTCTGTATCATTTTCCAAACCTTTCCAAACCACGTATTAAAATATTTTTCATAAAGGAAACGCAAATATCTGGAGTTTCATTTTCTGTACTTATTAACTTTGAAGCAATATTTGGGTTATTTGGACAAAGTAAATATATATTAGTATTAGTAATGTATTATGTTTGATGTAGCCAATGGAAACAGTTTACTTTCTGAAGCTGTAAAACCGAAAAGTCAAAAAAAATAAAATAATAATATGTAAACCTTAATACATTGATTAAAAATAAATATTGTGAAATAAGTTTGCGAATTTAAATATAATGGCAACCAAATAAATGTGAAATAAAAGCTTATATTTATAAAAATTTAGGAATGACGAAGGCTTTTGTGACGTAAAATTCTGAGAGATGAGGAAAGTTTAATAAATCTTCCGCTACATTTTATATATATGAACACGACAAAAATGAAGCTTTTTCTATTGTAAATAAGTGAATGAATTTAAGTATTATGGCAACCAAATAAAGCTGAAGTAAAAGCTTAGATTTATAAAAATCTTATTAATGACAAAGGTTGCTTTTGACGCATTAAACTGTGGAACGATGACGAAAGCTTGATATTACACTCGATAAATACTTCATGATTTTTTTTCATTACCTTTTCCAAATAATGTATTTCACTAAACCTTAATACATTTATACTGCATATTTATGTCTGCATATCAGAGAAAGATTATTTCAATGTTTACAGGATATCTGAGAATCATTTAGTTTATTACGATCAGATTTGTTTACATTGTTTGGTTGCATTATATTAGGTTTTGATATCTCTCTCTCTATATATAAACTTATTACCTTTTTTTATTCTAAATTTTAGCCTATTTTTATATTTATAGGCTATATATATACATATATATGTGTGTGTGTGTATCAAAAAATTAAATTAATGATTTAATAGAAGTAGATGAAACCATCCCAGAAATATTCTAAGATTTTATAAATAAACTTATTACATTTCAGAATTATGAATAAAATTTAAAGACGATCGCTTATTGTTTTTGAAAAATGTTTATAATTTATTTAAAGTGAATATACCAATCATGCTAAAATTTATATACCTTATAGAGTATTCATAGATTTATGCTCCAGACTTACTTCCAAGAAGTTGTAGAATAATTAGGTTATTTCGAAGCAAGAGTATATGTAAAATGAGTAATGCCCTCCCTGGAACTTGAACCACGGACCTCTCAATTACGCGCCGAGTTTGCTGACCACTATACCACGGATTCATGCCAAGAAGGCAGGAGAAATATCTTATATGCTCCCCCTTTTAAAGGGCGAGTTGGGATTAGGGTACCCATTCGCTAAATACTCGTGGTGGAGAATCATCATCCAACACAGTTCGGGCGCCACTAGAGTCATTAGGATTTTTTTGGAAGCAAGAGAGATGAAAAATGAGCAATGCCGTCACCGGGACACCAACCACGGACATCTTGAATACGGGACGAGTGTGTTAACCCTCACTCCACGAAGGCATGCTAAGAAGGCGGGAGAAACACCTTATAAGTAATAATCTGAAACATCAAAACCTGAATAATCCAAAAGAATTGGACCACGTTTCGATTCGCAGGAACTTTTGAGCATTTATGATAAAATAAAATAAAATACGCAATAAAAATAAAATAAAATACACAATAAAATAAAATAAAATACACGATAAAATGAAATAGAAACTGAAAAAGGAAAACGAAAAATATATTTTTTACACCCCATACGATTACCCAAACGTGATCAAGTATCTCACAAATAAATCTTTAGTACAAATTTTAAAAATAAATTTACCATTAAAATATTAAATGTAATTGAATAAAAAACTAGTAAAAACACGTCAATTTACATTGAAAATACAGCGGTAAATTCAACCGAAGAATTTAAACTTACTAAACATTTAACTCATAGCTAATACCAATTATAATGCTTTAAAAACATTATTGTAGAAGATTATTAAACTTATCAAATTCATTTCAAACTCTTAATAGTGAAAATTAGGCTTATTCTTTAGTTTTTTTTTAAAGAAAGCACTTTTGGCTACTTTATATATATGTAAGAAAAATAAAGAATATGTGAAAGATTAAATTAATAAAGAAAATTAATTCCCTTCTGTTATTCTAAAAATAGTAACCTCTATTTACACTGCGCCATTTCGAGAAAAATCTCCATCATATGAGTCTTACCTAATTCTGTAATTACATAATTCAGTTCTCTGAAGACACAATAATTCCTTTATGACATTGTTGTAGACTTTACAGACAATTCGAATAAGGTCGCATAATAAGGATACGTGAAGCGGGCTGCCATATCTAGCAACAGGTCGCCACCCACACCGTACGCACACGATTGTGCAAAAGTGGGTGCAACAATAAGCGTACTCACAGAAGGAATGAAAGCTCTGGAAGGCGAATGTGCACGAATGCGAGAGGCCTCAACTACCGCAACGGCATCATTGTCCGCTTTCCATCGTGCTGCAACCTCTTCCTTACCTACCGTGGCTCTTTCTAGCATCTCACAAGGGTTGACTGAAGCGGGGTCGCGCTGTTGCTTTAAAACGTCTGCCTTCTCAACATCGGCAGAGTGGTCTGGAAAGTATTCGTAGCCAAACATCTTGACTACTAGCCTACTGGCATCGGATCGGGTTGAGCGATGAATCTCGCTTCAATTTTGGAGCAGCTGACCATCGAGTCCCTGTGTGGAGGGGCCAGGGTCCGGATCAGCCTACCTCTGCTACAGCCAGCAATGTCACCAAGCCTTGTTCGCCTTTCCCCAGTCGAACTTGTACGGTGTATAGTAGTCTCTCAGGCAACACCCAAACTGTCGCAGATTTGGAGCAACAGTTGAGGAATGCTTGGCAGAATGTATCGCAGGATGAGATTAGGAGTCTTTATCAGTCCTTATTTCAACGTTCACAAGCAGGCATCACCGACAGGGGTCACAAATGTTTGAATCAAAAGTTTGGTCACCTGAATTTGAATGGTCAATGTGTACTTGTTGAAAACTGAGGAGTCCTATGTCCTTCATTTTAAAATCATCTCAATACCTGCTTATGAGCTTATGCATATTTAATTTTAATAAAAGCAGTTACCTTATGATATCTAGTATATTCTGCGAGAGCATGAAATGGTAGCTAGATCTACCTGGATGTTAACCTTCCGACTTCTTGCACAGGCGTGAAGATGAACACAACAGAGAAGTTAAATACCTATGTTTGAATACTGCTATGTATAAATCTAATATATATATATATATCTTAGGTTGCGCTTTCGATATATATTAGAAACTCAAGTTAGGTTTCGTCAATTGGCCCAGTATAACAGGAGATATAGAACTGTTCCTTTTCTTTTTGTGTGTGTGTGCGTGTGTATGTGCAGAGTGTACATACTATGGTTTATCAAATGCTTTGTCTGTTTGTTTGTTAATGCTATGCTCTTTTATGATTATGGATTATGCTTTTATAAAATTTGATTTTATACGTGTTTGCTGTTGGTAAGTATTATTATGACGGTTTGTTTAATTGAAAAAAATTATTACGTTGTTGTTAAAATCTCGTGATGTCGATGCATATTTTTTTAAAACGAAGAATATGTAATATCTTGTTATTTAATAAATAAGTATAATTATTGTTGAAGTGGCAACGACATATTTGTAACCGTTACTCAGCAACGAGAGATATTGTTAAAAAAAGATTAGTATTCTGAAGATTTTACAGCTAGGAGTAGGATGAAAATTTTGCCACTTAAGAATTGTATAAAATTTGTCTATCACCGTGAACTAGAAATAAAATTTATGTTCTACTAAGAAGATTGTCTGTTTTGTAAATTACTGCAAAATACATTACAGTCTTAATTAATCGGAGGTTCCACCGAGATACTGGAAATTAGGAGTGCAATTATCAATTCGATGGTGCTGGTCTCCTAATCCCAGAAATATGCTGAATTTTTTAGAACAAGTTTGCTAATACCAGTTGCTGAGTTTGTTTATTTCAAGGAGAAATGGATGTAAGAAGTCTGCCGTTTTAAAGCCAGATTTGAAGCAGATCATTCAAAGGTTATCTTCTGTGCTTCTATAACTTGCGTCCGAGCAAAAAATCTGTCAAAACAGGATACTGCTGATCTCTGAAGATAAGAATAACTTTTGGTTTCTTAAAAAAGCTTTTATTGAATTTTAATAGATTGTTTCAGAATTATAGTTTATAGTGTAAGATTTTGTTTAAAATAACTGACCCCAAAATTATTCAGCTTAAATTTATAATTGATATTCGTGGTAAAGAAGTATTTTGAAATTATTATTTATGCTTTACTTTTATTTGTATTGAAATTTTATGTTGATAATTGATATGTGTAAGCCATCCCGGCATTTATAAAAAAAAAAACTGCTAGCTGAGTTTTTGAATTTGTTGCCAAGCAGGCGCGTGAAAATAAGTAATAACGTCAAACTGACGTAGAGTGAATTGATTATACTGCAGAATTGGCAAAGTCTAAGTTCTCGCCATCCAGGCGTGTGGTATATAGTAACGTCATCCCGACGTATTACAGATTGTATATTCTAAAAGTTGTATTGCCAAACTGGCAAAAATTGTTTTTGTTATCGCCAACCAGGCGTGGAGATAGATAGTAAAATCGTCAAACTGACGTTGGTAAAATTCCATTGTATTTCCTAACTGGCAAAGGTGTTTATATAGTTATAGCTAACGAGGCTTGTGAATATTGAGTTAAAAAGTCAACCCGACGTAGAATTATACTATTTTTGTGCCAACCTGGCAAAGTTGTTTAAATAAATTTCTCCAATTGGTTGGTGTGAATTTCGTATTTGAGAAATTAAGTCTCTCCAAAAATTATATATTTTTAATACAAGTACGAGCTTTTAGATTGTATTTCAAAAGGAAGCCTATTAAAGGTAACTTGTGTCAACATGTCATTCTTAGCTAGGAGTAAAAAACAGGATTTAAAAGTATTAGCAGAAGAGTTAGGTTTAACCGTGAAACCTGAATTTAAGATTGCTCAGTTGCATAAACTGATTACTGAAAGTCCCGGTTATGATGAGGAGTTTACTCGAGAACTACTGGCTGCAATTAGAGAAGAAAGGGAAAGAAAGGAAGAATGCGAAAGAGAAGGAAGAGAAAAAGAACGCGAAAGAGAAGAGAGAGAAAGAGAAAGAAGAGAAGAACGCGAAAGGGAAGAAAGAGAAAAAGAACGTGAAAGAGAAGAAAGAGAAAGAAGAGAAGAACGCGAAAGGGAAGAAAGAGAAAGGGAACGCGAAAGAGAAGAAAGAGAAAAGGAACGCGAAAGAGAAGAGAGTGAAAGAGAAAGAAGAGAAGAACGCGAAAGGGAAGAAAGAGAAAAAGAACGTGAAAGAGAAGAAAGAGAAAAGGAACGCGAAAGAGAAAAAGAGAAAGAAAAGAAGAGCGTGAAAGAGAAGAGCGAATTAGAGCCTTTGAGCTACAGAAACTTCAGTTGGAAGCAATGGCTGCAACAGAGCAGCCGGTAGAAACTACGCAGTTACCTGAACAGCCTTTAAAAATCAGAATTCACGATGTCATGCCACGTTTCAACCCTAAAGAAGATGAAATAAGTTTATTCCTGGTGTTATTTGAGCGTCAAGCTAAAATAATGAATATACCTGCTGAAAATCAAGTGACTCAACTTATTTCATTACTGCCTCCTGACATTGTTCAGCTTATTGCTAGAGAACCAGAAGCGGACGCGAAAAAGTATGAATATGTAAAATCTTTACTGTTACAATGATTTAAATTGAGTGCGGAAAAATTTAGACAACTATTTAATAAACACCAAAAATCTACTGAAAGTACTTGGTATGATTTCTACTATGAATTAAAGAATTATTTAGAAGGATGGCTTAACGGATTAAACATTAAAACTTTTGAACAGCTAAAAGATCTCATGCTGGTTGATCAAATAAAATAGCGTACTTCTCCTGATTTCAAAGAACATTTCATGGATCAATGGACAACTATAATTTCACCTACTGAGATGGTTAAGAAAATTGAAAATTTTGAAGATGTCAGAAAAACAATAAAACCGAAATTTTCTGCCAGTCAAACTGAGAGATTTAACAAAGGATCATTTAAACCGCGTTATGATAATTTTGTGAAAAAAATAGAGCATCCGCCTCATTTTAAGCATTTTGATAAATGGAATGATTCAAAATACCAGAAAGATCACCGACAAAAAAGTCAATTTCAAAACACAAACCAAGAAAATTTATATGACAAAAGATATCGACCACGTTGTTTCGAGTGTGGGTCATACGAACATTTTAAGCCTCAGTACCCTCGCTTAAAACCAAATGAAAAGGTAAATTGCGTATTTTCGAATGATGATTTGGTAAAGATATATACAATTAACGGTTTAGTTTATCAGGTTCAGTGTTTCTCCTTACTTGCTTAGGGAACATTCAAGAACCTGGCTCGGAACAGGGAGCTTACTAAAGCTATGTTCAATAAATGTGGGAGGTAGACAAGATACTCAGGAAGGGTATACAAAACCCTTTATTTTTCACTCTTTACAATAATTTCCGGATTTCGGAATACAGAGACCAACCACTTGTGGTGTGAACGTAAGAATATAAAAATATTAACTAAACTCTGACTTAACTTTGGAATAATAAACAAGGGCCTACGTGGAAGATTGGCCGTATATTAACAGGGAGCCGTATGTAGTACGGAGAACTGTTAACACTACAATACGTTTAAAAATTATTAAGAGGATTAAACCTCTGGCCTGAAAGGCAACCAGCAACCGAGTAAAAACTGCTAAGGCAAGCGGCCTGCTTCTACTAACTCCTTCCTCTCTCTTGCTTGGCAAAAAGCCACAACTCTTAAGTACTTGGCGTTAGCCAGACAAATTTGCATAAATAAGTTAAAGCTTTTAATTCTGGCCGGAAGTAGAAAATAAGAAGTGATAGTAAAGATTTAAACTAAAATAAACGTTAGTAAAACTTAAGATCCTTACAAGTTAATGGGCATGAAATGCCTATTCTTCGAGACACAGGAGCCACTGTTGATGTTACTTGTCGGAAATACATAGATAACGCAAAAATGACTGGAGAACATGTCTGGGTACAATATCTATTAAATGACCATTTAGTGTGTCTACCGTTAGCGGAAGTTGAAATTAATTGCGAACTTGGTCATATAAAGACAAAAGCAGCTGTTGTTACAAATGATCCTGGCAGATATGTATTGGGTAACAAAACTGCTCAGTTGTTCAAAGATAAACAGTTGTTCAATTTAGAAAGGATAAATGCAGTTATGACACGATCTCAAGTAAAACGATCTCGAGAAGGAGATCGAAGTAGAGACACCAAAATGGGGAAAAAAGAACTGTCTATTATTGAGTCTGACGAAGATATTTTACCGCAAGCTGATGAGGAAGATAAGAAAACTAAGAAAATAATTAATGCTAATTCAAAGGAATTAACTGAATCTCAGCATCAAAGCAGAGATCTAGCCTCATTGCTTAGCGAAGCTAAAAGGGAAAATTTCGGAAATGATTTCAAAGTAAAGGAGGACGGGCTGTTGATGAAAAAGAAATTAGATAAAAATGGAAATGAAAATGAAGTAATTGTTATTCCTGAAAAATATAGGGATCAAATGCAGAACTACACAATTTTGATGCAGAACCAAACAAATAATAGTGCTAAAACGCAGGGTAATTTGGTCAAAACTCACCCTCCTAAAAGTCAAGCTTCTTTCAATGCTTCACAGAAATCTGACAAACAATCTAAGCGTTCATCTCTAGATGAGAAAACTGAAGTTATTTATATGGAAGTTGACTCACCTTATTTACCTGCTGATTCATCTTCTGTAGATTAGTGTGTATGATTATTGCCCTACAAGTTTCCCAGTTCCTTCTTCTCCAAAAAGGAAAGATGTGTTTGACAGTTCGTTAGCAGCAGATCAAAGAAATTCTTATAAAAGAACTCATGAAAGTGCTTCTAAAGCTGAGAAATTAAAAATACATTCAGAATATAAGCTCGCGTCAGAAACCTTAGCAAAGAGGCATAAACATGATAGAGGATACTCAAAGTTGCCACATTCAATGAGAATGCAAGTAGCAGATAAGAACAAAGAATCATCTCGCAAAGAGCAAAAACTATCTTACAAGAAAGAACTGACAAAATTAAACGATTCTCAGTTAAAAGTTCCAGATGAATTGCCAAGTTTTGGAGTTGAGATGCCAGTCAAAGAGAAGTTTTTAAAGAAACTAAACAGACAAGAGCGAGTTGTTGAAGAAGAAAAACTGCCACAAAAGCCTCTGTCACACTCACCTGATTTCAATAAGAAGTTTATTTTGCAAATTGATGTTTCAGACTCTGATATGGGTGTCATTTTAGCTCAAAACGATGAACGAGACAATGAACATCCAGTATTATACCTCAGTAAGAAGTTTACAGAAACTGAAAAAAAGTACTCTACCACAGAAAAGGAATGCGCCGCCATAATATTTGCTGTACAGAAACTTCAATGTTATTTAGACGGGCATACTAAATTCCTCATCATGACCGATCATAATCCCTTAGTTTGGCTCAAAAATAATGTGAGTCTAAATCCACGACTTATGAGATGGGCACTGGTACTACAACCCTACAATTACACGATCGTTCATCGAAGTGGTAAAAACCACTTCGATGATAAAAATGTAGACGCATTAAGTCGTACTCCCTGATTAAATAATTTGTTTCTCTATGTAGATAAAAAAAATATTTTGTTCCTTCCTCTCTTCCTCAGCGTATGTCATTATGTTATATCTTGTACTTCAATTCTGTATTGTGCTAATATTGTTGTTTTGAAAAAAAAAAAAAAAAAAAAAGTAAGGAGGGGGGAGAGGTTGTAATATCTTGTTATTTAATAAATAAGTATAATTATTGTTGAAGTGGCAACGACATATTTGTATCAAACCGTTACTCAGCAACGAGAGATATTGTTAAAAAAAGATTAGTATTCTGAAGATTTTACAGCTAGGAGTAGGATGAAAATTTTGCCACTTAAGAATTGTATAAAATTTGTCTATCACCGTGAACTAGAAATAAAATTTATGTTCTACTAAGAAGATTGTCTGTTTTGTAAATTACTGCAAAATACATTACAAATACATTATTTAATTTTTTCTTCTTGGCCAGTATGTTAATTTGTCCTGTTTTCGTGCCTAGTACTCTAGATTTTAGAGGTTAAATAGCGCTTTAACTAACTTAAGTTAGTTAAATAGCTCACCTAATATCAAACTTGCAGACCAATTTAAAATGCTGATATTATACATAAGAGAATTTTATCTTACTTGAATTGCAAAGCTTAAAAGACAATTCTTTCCGCTATGAAATGCTAAATTCAGAAAACCTCGACTTTTCATAGATGCACATGGAATGCTTGTAGTAGTTTCGTAATGACGTAGCTTGGTTCACAGGCATACCAGGAATGATTGCCACGGAAAGAAACATAAGTGCTCAAGAAACTATTGCGCATGGCAATAAAGTAATTTCTTCCAAATTTTGCTTTCTTGAAACTTTCCTTTCTAATGGTTCCTTCTCTTCTAGACAGTACATGAGTCAGGGGAAATCACGATTCCCTTGAATGTAGGGAAAATAAAATTCCAGTCACGAAAAAGGGAAAAATGTTTCGGAAGAAATATTGATCGAGAGAGTTCTCTAGAAAGTTGCAGTGCATTCGTTCCTCTTCCATTTGCCTGGAAAAGAAATAATAAAAATTTTCCTTAACGAAAGCAAGCATAATATACTTCTGGGTCACATCCAAAAATGATGATTTATTGCGACAATCTTTTTTTGAGGGAGCAGAAAAGCATTCATTCATGTCGCTGAAAGTTGCTGAAAAAAAAGAGATGTTCCGCAAGCAAACTTCTCTAAATGCTACTCAAGAGGATTACGGTTTATTGCTTCTACTTTCTGAAAGGGAAAAATTGGTTCGTTATTTCTGCTTTTTAACAATTTCAAACAAATGAGGTTGTGTTTTTATGATGAAATTTAATGGTGTTTTGCTTAGTTTAGCCATGTGACCAATTTTTTCTACCCCCCCCGTTTTTGTATTATTGTTAAAATAACAGTTAAAGTGGTCTAAACTACTTAGAGAATTAGTGTAAAAAATTATCAAAGTCATGCATTTCATTGTTGAATAGAAGTAGATATTGCTGCTTGTGGACGGTTTTGCAGTACATTGAATGCACACAGGTAAGATTATAGATTAATAAAATTTATTTTTATCAAAAGAAGTATTTCAGAGCTCTGGAATCTTCCAGAGAAATATTCCTGACAGTGTTCACAGTATCACACAATACAATCAGTAGTTACGCTTCAAACTACTAAACTAAGAACGTTAAACACAACGCAATGCAAAGCGCATCTAAAGAGAAAGCTAATTAGATCTCACGCTGAACTGACAACTCGCAACAGTAACAACAACTAGCTAAGAGCAGATGCTCTTTCTCTAGCCTCATATAGGATTTACCCGGCCGCCGAGATATTCTTAGCACTTTCTGCTTCTCGAAATTACAGGAAAGTAATATGAGGTTCGAATTACGGTTACAGCTGACATAGTGTTCAATTACATTTATTCAATTACCGTACTTATTATGGTAATACAGGGAACGGACCAAATGTCGCCAAATGGTCGCCGAATTGGGCAACTTCGGGCAATTTTACACCAAATTTGGAGACAAAATAAGTCGCCAAAACCGTTGTGAGCGTTTCGATATCTCGCCAAATTATCAAGATACCCATTTACTCAATGTTAAATACACTTACACCTGAATTCTTACTTTTCCGGCATAGCTTCTTTCTTAAGATGTTTCGCGTTACATTACACAGAAAAACAATGTCACATATAATTGCACTAAAGATATCTATCTATGTACAAAAATCGTAACAATATTTTTGAAATCAATTGAAAAAGCAACCATATTAATGTAGTGTAGAACTCTTCGTTTTCCCATCTTCAAAATTTGCATTGCAGTTATTTTATTTACTTGATTTTCTTTCTAGTCCAGCTAAAATTAAGCATGTTTTTCATTAATTTATATAACTTTTAATTTTTGGTTTAAACAGAATAAAAAGATAATTACGTTACAAAATCTTTTTCGTTTTAGTGCATTATGCACTATGTACAAATAAATTGTGTATACGGTATGATTTTTATATCAATAGTTCATAATCTCTTACCATACTGTGCTTCTTTATGTATCTCGCTGACTTCACAGAACCAAATAATATGTAATAAAAATTATTGATATTCTTCAGAATAATGAATATAGAGGAGAGATATGTAAATAACTTATGAGTGTATCTCAGTACCCCTGCTTTTTCCGATGAAGAGAGCAATTTATATCTGACTAAAAATAAAGGTCACTGTAATAGCATAAAATGACTTAAAATACTTTTATTTAAAAAAAATATATATTTATATTATGTTGCTATACTTAACGTAGTTCTACGTCAATTGTGAAAGTTGGTGGTCATCGCCTTCAAAACTGCGTTAACGATATGAAGTATGTAAAAACAAAATCTGATGTAGATACCACATGACTTCCTAGTACGGCTTACTTACTAGCTTCTGTAACCCTATGCGTCTTATGCTCATTTTTTTCTGCATTTTATTTAAACTTATTTCTTCAAATTTCATTAGAGATGTATTTCTCATTCAGTCAATTCAGTTCTACTTTCGCGGCAAGGGAAAAATACATGAAAATTCAAACCATCTTCATTAAAAATTGCAAAATATAGAAAACCCTATAACACCAAAGAGAGTTAAAAACTGTTAAAAAACAATTTTTATTACTACAGTTTAGATTAATTAAAATTAGGCAGAAAGACAAATTTTTAGGGCACAAAACATTTGTTCCCACTCGGAAAAAGGCACTGAAGTTGGTGCAAAAACTGACTCAATTCACTATGCTGCTAAGTTTCAAATGTAAATAAATAACGGCGTCGTTAAGCTTAGTGGAAGTTAAACAACTTTAAAATTACTAATTCAGAAGTCAAACAACAAAAATTAGCGTTATATTTTCAAATTTTCACAGAAAATGTGAATTGCTGTGAAAATTTGAAAATATAACGCTGATTTTTGTTGTTTGACTTCTGAATTAGTATTTGATCGGCGTGTTATTGTGTCTTAACTTTAAAATTGTTTAGAATTCTACAACTATGATATGCAGATTAACTAAAGGCATAAAATCCTGAACCGGAACATAAGAACAATATAATTCAATCGCTTTTAAAGCAAAAAAAATGCACAATTCATCAACATGGAAGAATAAAAAGCTTAGCTCACCAATCCGGGTAACCGAATGGGTATACAGATATTTATTATTAGAGAAGATTTTTATATATAATTTCCATGCAAAATAAATAAAGCTATGAAACTAGAAGTTGAAAAACTTTTAGTAAGTAATTTTAGTAGCTTTACAAGTCAGTATCTAAAGTTATTTAGATTTCTATTGTAGTAAATACACTCACTTCCGAAAGTTAAGCACGAAGATGTAAAATACAAAACATCAACAAATACTTCTTTGATTGACACAAAATTCGGCAGGAAAGTAGCATATATATTTATGCATAAAACAAAATCAATAATTATATACAGAACTGAAAACAATATTAAATTTTTGTAAGTTATCAGATAATGACTTACTGGAGACTTAAATAGAATTATGTATAAAGTGAAAATAAACAACATAAAACGAAAAAAAGGACATTAATAGGGTATGTGATCTCCCCTCATCTGGATGCAAAGTTTACACCTTGCGACCATGCTTTCAATTAGGTGGTCAACCACCACTGAATTAAGCTATCGCCATTCTTCTTGTAGAGCAGTTTCCAGCTCAATAAGAGTGGCTGGAGTTGGGAAACGTGAAGATACAGCACGGCCGAGAGCATCCCAAAGATTTTCAATGGGATTAAGGTCGGGCGAATATGCTTTCCACGCCATACGCGCAATCCCTTCACTCTCCAAGTAGTCCTCGACGATGTCAGCTCTATGGGGACATGAGTTATCGTCCATTAAAACAAAAGTACGGCCAACTGCTGCAGCGTACAATCTCACAATGAGTTCTAGGACTTCATCTCGATACCAGACAGCCGTCAAAGAACCCCGTTTAAAGATGTGCAGGTCAGTGCTAATCCTAATGAAGTATCTATCCTAATGAAATCCCTGCCCACACCATACGGAATGCGTTTGGTGATGTTGTGGGACTGATTGCGTGTTCGTTGTTCACGCCATATCCTTATACTCTTGTTATCTTGCTGCAGAGAAAATCTTGACTCATCAGTAAATATGACATTGCCCCAGTCAGACACATTTCAGTTGACATATTCCCGGC